CCCCCCCTCCATCCGTCCCTGCATAAATCTATATAATCCTAGAAAAGCACAAATAATTGATAATTTTAGAACTTATTCCGATGTCATCATTTACTTCAAATCTATACAAGGGCGGAGCCAGAAAATGATTTTGGAGTGGGCTAAAATCTAAAAATTCTAAATAAACTCATGACACAAGATATCGAGTTTAGAAGACTACACTCATTACAAGAGGAAATTAGACACAATATACTAAAAAGAAAATGAAATTGATTAATACACTTAAACCAAATTAAAGTTTTAATAACCGTAATTACTACGTCCACTGAAAACATAAAACACTTGAAAGTCAGCAGTATCATTCCAAAGACAAACGGTGGCACTTCCCATGTGATATTTTTCACTTTTTAAATTTTTTATTATTAAAAAGTTTTCGTTTGATATTGTATTTTCTGCTACGATTATCCATTTTTAGCAATTTAAAATATGTTAGAAAGCTTGCAATGTAGCCATGATAAATATGTTATGGACGAAGTTTAAATATCAAAAATTATTTTACATGAATTATTGAACGCAAAATAAACCATAATTATTAACTTTATTTCTTGTGACATTTTTGACTTGTTATTATGAACTCATCGTTTATCAATTTTTAAATTCGAAAGATGTATTTCAAAGTTTGTCGTGAATACTTCGAAACGATAACAAAAACCACACTCGACGAGCGAATAAAATAGCCCGTAAATAGGCCAAAACTTGTAACGCCAAAATAGAAATTAAAAGAGAAAAATATATAATTTTTCCACTTTTCACATGTTCATTTTTGCAAAAACCTTAGATGTATCAATTGAATTGATTCAAACAAATATGAATTGAACACAAGATTAAAATAATGTTTGAATTCTGATATTTAAATTTTCAAAAACACACATGTGCAATTAATTAATTGCTCCACTAAGATACTGTGACTTTTTCGAAGAATGTCACTTTTTCACATTATCATTTTCGCAAATACCTTGGATGCATCAATTGAATTGATTCAAAGAAATTGAATTGAATGCATGATTAAAATAAGGTTTGGATTCGTATATTTTTAATTCTTTTTTAAAAAAAACACATGTATGTATCTAATTAATTGTTTCAATGAGATACTGCGATCTTTTCATAGAAAAGTGACAATATATCATTTTTTCACACACTCATTTTCGCAACACCTTGGATGCATCAATTGAATTGATTCAAATAAATATGAATTGAATGCAAGATTAAAAGAAGATCTCAATTAGTATATTTAAATTTTCAAAAATACACATGTATGAATCTAGTTAATTGTTTCAATGAAATATTGCAACATTTTCATAGGAAAGTGACAGAATGTCAATTTTTTCACATTTTTCTTTTCTCAAACACCTTGCATGTATCTATTGAATTGATTCAAAATGTATGCAGTTGAGGCATCCTAACAGACCGATAGATTCATCTTCATATGTACTAACATAAAATAAGATTTGAATTCATATATTAAATTTTCAAAAATGCACACATATGCATCTAGTTCATTCAATGAGATACTGTAACTTTTTTCTTTTAGAGAAAAGTGACATAATGCGACTTTTTCATAGAAAAGTAAAAAAATGTCACATTTTCACATTCTTATTTTCGTAACCACCTTGTATGCATCTCTTAAATTGATTCAAAGTTTATTTTTCATATGTATTAACATAAAATGAGGTTTGAATTTGTTTAGTTAAATTTCCAAAAATGTACACAGATGCATTTAATTAATTGCTCCAATAAGATATTGTGACTTTTTTCAGAGTAAAATGACATAATATCACATTTTCACATTCTTTTCGCAAACACCTTTCATGCATCTAATGAATTGATTCAATGTTAAATTTTCAAAAATGCAAACATATGCATCTAATTAATTGCTCCAATGAATTATTGTAACTTTTTTTTTTAAAAGAATATCACTTTTTCACATTCTACTTTTGAGCAAACACTTCCATGCATCAATTTAATTGATTCAAAGCTAAATTTTTATATGTATTAACATAAAACAACGTTTGATTTCGAATGTTCAAATTTCTAAAAACACATACGTATACATTTAGTTAATTGCTGTAATTAAAAGTGATAGAACATCTCTTTTTCATGGAAAAGTGTTAGAACATCACATTTTCACATTCTCATTTTGTCAAACACCTTGCATACACCATTTTAATAGATTCAAAACTAATTTTTCATATGTATTAACACAATCAATTTTCTCTCAAGTTCAAGAATGTTATTTTCGAACATGCTTCCAATCACACTGAAATATCTGTTGTGCTTTAGATGTTAATTTCAAACACTTACGATTTTTCAAGATTAGAGGCTAATTTTTTACAAATAGTGTACATGTTAGATTCAACATATTGTAGCCTCTGTTTGGTACCCATTATTTTTTTCATTCTCATTATTTTACTCATTTTCAACCACACATTCTTCAATAAAATANTTTTCAACCACATATTTTTCAATAAAATAATATTTTCTATCACATCAATAACTTTTCCTTCTTTTTCAACCACACATTCTCCATCAATCTACTATTCTAAAATACATTCTTCCAAAATAATATCTATCAAACACACCCTGAATAAAAAAAATCAAACAAATTGTAAACCTCAACATATTGAACACAAAAACCTAAACAACAAAATCAACCAAATAAACACATTGAATCAAAAATAAGAAATAATATAAACCTGGAGATTTGGATTGATTATTTATAGAATTGGTGAATAAAACTTTAAAGAAGATGTAGTTGAAACAACTCTTAATCTTGTATGGCCTTAGATTTTGCTTGATTTGGAGCTTGAATGAGTTGGAATTTTGGAGTTACTGGAATTGATTCTTCATTTTGAAATTACCGTAATCTTTACGGTTTATTGGTTGAAATTTATATTATTTGCTTTTTAATACATATTTATCATAATTTTTCAAAATGATCCTAAAAATAAGGGTATTTGTGTAAGTTCCCCAAGAGTATATTTGCATGTACTCTTATCCCTCTTTCTTGTCTACCAATTTTTTTAAGGATACTTGTTTCCAGGCAAACTTCTTGTCCAATGGATACTTGTCCGATTGTTGTTGTTGTTTCTAGTATAATAGGGTTTGTTAACCCTGGTTTCTAGCCGTGATCTGGCCAAATCATGTCTAAAGCTCTTAAACACTTGAACAAATCATTGAAGCACGTGACCTTCTCCAATTGTGAGAAGACGATCGTTAGCACTCAACGGTCAATTCAATAAACTTCTATACATATGTTTTGGGTGTGGGATAATCAAAAGATGTGACAACAATGTGTACGGATATCGAGTTATAGAAAGAACACAAGAGTGTGCAATATTGTTATGAGTGTTTAAAATTGCATTACATTCAAATAATATTAATTATGAGATTTTCAATAGAAGAAATGAAATGAATACCATTGAATGAAAAGACATGTAACCTTATTTTAAAGGTCGACGCGTCTTCTCCTATATAAAAAAGAAAAAAACATTACGTTTTCAAAAATAAGACTTTAATTATGAAATGTTTTCAGAGCCACTATTTTGACTCTTTATTTCAAAACAACTTATTTATCGTACTTATTTTCAAACACAATGAAACATTTCATATATAAATCCAAAATCTTTCCTTATTTTTTTACACATTCTCCAAAAAATATCATTTTTCTATAAATTTTTCTTTATAATGGCCATCAAATAGGAACTTAATATAATCTCTAGCATCCATTATAATCGTTATGTCTTCTTTCGACTAGAGGCGGATTTACAATGGGATCAATTACTCCCATACTAAGGACGTGTTCGGTAGAGATTAAAATCAGATTAAAATTGAAAAACTAACCGTTATTGTTGATATTTATTAGACGAGTGAGACTCAATAACGACTATATTTTCAATTTTAATTAGATTTTAATCTTAGCCAAACATGATTTCAAATCCAAGATTTTGCACAAGAATTTCAAAAAATTCCTTAATAGTTTTCTATTTTGCCCCCACAATTAAAATTTTGTAAAATTTACCCCTACATCTTTACACTCATTACTCCGCCCCTGCTTTCAACTGGGATACATATTTTCGAGAGAAACTTCTGATCAAAGATAGTACTTTTGTTTTACTTCGTAGTTGAGGACTATATATATATTTAAGTCAAAATAGAGCAACACTAAACACAGATACATTCTTTAACAACCTTTTTTTCCCCTTTCAGAATGGCTAGACTTCATTCATTAAAAAATAATTTGTTTTATATAACTTTCCCGACTGAGTTGGATCCTTCAGAAATGCTCTCGTTTCTAAATGATTGCAAGCCTCAAGTGTAACCATATTCCATCTAACATTAACTTTAGCAAGAGGGGGAATCCTCAAATCGTACTACATAATTTCAACATAGACCTCATAATAGTACAAATCCCTCCAATTCACATCTCTTTAACAATTCCTATTCACCGGGAACAACTATTGGTTCATTAAGCGCATTGCGGATTAATGCACAAGCCGGGAATCCGCAATGCGCTGATGTTCATGAATACATATCAGCATATGCAATACATCAGTTAAATTTGGGAAGACTCAAAGAAGAAAATATTATATAAATTCTATTACAAAAAGGACAAACCGCTCGACTAGCACCAGTAAAATTATATTTTATTTATAACACACTACATGCAGCCGCCATAGGACATTTAGCAAATAAACTATCAAGATCAACAACTTCACTAAAATCCTTTATGTGAAGCACATGAATGAAATTATTTACAAACCTTTATTTCTCTGTTACATATCTTTTAGGGGAATGTAAAGCTAGTGAACAAGAGTATAATGATTAGCAACAAAAGCTTTACATGGATCATTTCTGTAATAATTGCATTGTTTCTCATAAGCACTTCAGCATGTCTACGTGCTTCAATTCGTCATTTCACCATCCTGCTGAAACCATGATGAAAGATAATTTTTCCAGACAGATGCATAAAATTTAAATTATTAAATTATTGTGCTCTAATATGATTTTGAACAAGGAGCAAATTGCATACCCTCAAAAGAGACATCAATCTATGTCTGCTTATATTGCTCCTTGTTTGGAAGGTGTTTAATATATTAACACTTTTGGTCAAACCTACTTTATATCCACACATTTCGTAGGACCCACCCACAAGTATTACTCACTTACCTATCACTCATTTCTATCTTGTCTATTATAATATAAACCAATTATAAACACCTACCAAATAAGCTTTATATTATTTATAATCCTCATATGATTCTTATGATTTATCCTTTCTGCTTTTGTCACTCCAAAGCACAACATTGAGAACACAGATAACCAGAGTTTCAATTTTTTTTCGTATTTGCCATACAGGAAATTAGTCAAAAGGAACAACTTAATTTAGAATCTTAAACTCAAAAATTAAAACCCTTAATTATCTAGTTTCAGATAGATTACATTCTTATGACCCACAACTTTTATCTACTTTTTAACCACATGAGGACCCGCTAAGCACTTAAAAGCTTAGCCAAGCAAGCACTTATTAGATGCTTCGAAAACTATTCAAAAAGAGAAACAAGTTTGTTTCAATTTACCATAGCCATTGCAGAAACAAGATCAGCTTTGTGTGCACTCAAATGGATGCAAACTTCCTTCAGTAAACTCATGCATCCGAAACCGCTCCAAAATCTCAAAGGGCCTAATATGACATTGAACAATAAATTAACTAGAACCAGTTGAAATGGATGCAACATGACAGAGAACAAGCCAAAACCATAACATGCTGTAAATACAGTACAGGCTGCTTTGATTAAAAAAAAAAAAGAGTAATTGTAACTAAAATTTCCCTAAACATTACAATCAATTATCCATACTTCATTTGACTGGGGAAAGAATTTGATCGAAAACCACCTCCGGGGTTTATCTTAATCTAATATTAAATTCAATTCTAAAAGCAGCAGCAGATGTTTTAATATGATTTTTTATCAATCATATTTTCTCGCCAAATTTAAGGGGAGAATTTTTTTTATTCTAGAAATTTGTTATTTTTAAAAAGCATAAAAGATGGGTCATGAGACAGGTATAAAGCCCTAAAGGTTAGATCACCAAATTTTCAAGAAGAAGAAGAAAAGAAATGTTCTTAATCCAAGGAATGGTCCACCCAGAAACAGTAACTAAATCTTGCTTCATATATTCTTGGTTAAGGAATTTTAATAAAATAAGTTAGCCAAGCAGAAATATTAGATGTCATAGTACTGAAATTGCAAAATTGTGATGAGAGAGAAGAAAGTAGGCATCACCAGGGAGTCCCATGAGATTTCACACCTAAAGCCAGAAAAGGATCAAACAACTCAAACACAGTGCTGAGAACAGAAGTGGCTATCACCTAGTATGATCCTATGTGGCTAAACACATCTCCTCACTCCCACCCGAAATTGAAACCACCTTTTCCTGGGAAGACCTCCCAAACTCTCTCCCTCCAATTTGTTGCACAGAAAGCAATAGACAATTTTTCAAAAAAATTGAAATGCTCAACTCATTTTTTCCTCAATAAATACCTCCTTCAGTCAACAACAACTGAGCCACTGTAATCCATGGGCAACAATTTATTATTCAAATTATGATTTCAAAGGTTGAGAAAATGCAATGTTAACCAAACAAAAGTTTCCATTACAAATTTCTTTGATTTTGTTTTCCTTTTGACTCTGCTCTTCGTTTACCTTATTGCTAACAAGATTCAAATTGCATGGTAGTTCACAAGGAAAATAAGAAACCTTAATTATAACGATGAGTCGAAAGACAAACTGCAAAGACTGGTGATTCCTTAATGCATAGGACCATGTAATAGACATCAAAAAGTGCAGTGCCGCGAGATACAGACACTGTTCTAGAAAGGAGCTGGAGTGGCTCTCCAATCTTAGTAGCAGAAATTGTTACTTTTGGTTTTTGAGTATGGAGAACGTGTCAATATTCAAATATTAGTCTCTTTTTGTAATTTCTTACTTCCTATAGAGAAATCATGGTGGTTAACACTGTAATTACAAAGAGAACAATATAAAACGATTTAATCTTGCATTCCAGCATAACATTAAAGGCTTTACTTATAAAACCTAAAAACTTCATGTATGAAACAAAGTAATCCAAGCAAAGAAAAACATCATATTGGACCAGCAGTTTTTGCATGAACATCTAGCAATGTGGATAATCCACGACGACAGTCATGTTGGTGATGATAGTGATGTAACAAAGTAAAAACAGGAAAGTAACAGAAACCGAGACCAGCATGCAAATAAAATTTGAACATTTACTAAACGTACAAAAATGTTTCACGAGAGCGGCATAATCTGCGCTGATTGCCTTCCATAGCATCTAACACATTTGGAGCCTCTGGTCCTGCGGCTCCACCAGCCACAATGGATGGGACTGAAGCACTTGCAGTCCAAATCTGCATGAATTATGTAATGAATAAGATATTATACCTTTTAATAGTTATAATCATCTAAAATCCATATTGTATCTTACCTTTATGGTGCTATCAATCCCACTAGTTGCAACAACACAATCAAATGGATGGCACTGAATGCAGTTCACAACTGTAAAGGAAAAGGGTAAAGTTACTATGCCACTTCAAAAGAGAAGGATAAAGACGGGAAGGGGGTGCATAATGTGCCAACCATCAAATAACCCTCTCTTTATTGAAGAGACACAATCCGTAGAAGTTTTTTGTCCCGTCAATTCAACTTGCTAAAATTATTAAAGGGATATAGTATCATTCAGAGTTGACCTGGTTTTCCTCTTTCACTCCAAATTTTCATCATAGTTTTCCCACATAAATCTTCTCACTCCTCCCCATGTCAATGCTCTTTCCCTGAAGGTAACAGCACTAACATTATCTTCTTTCCTTCGTACTTAAATAAACCATAGCTATTTCATTAATATCAACTCAAAATTCTTAAAGCACCCTGAAGGTAACAGCAGTTACATCATCTTCTTTCCTTTGTACTTAGAGAAACCATAGCTATTCTGTTAATATCAACTCAAACCCTTATATTGATAAAGTGCCCTGATGTCCTTTGTTCATATCGGCTTCCACTGAAATCCCATATGCAGGGTGATAAATTGCATCTCCTTAGCCATGAACAGCCTGAGCAAAGGATTTCCTTCTAACCTCACAAGTGTGCTTCATCTCTGGTTACATCTTAAGAGTTCTAATCACCAGAATCACAGAGATATTTTCCATGCAAGCTCTGAAATCCCCTGCAATTCCTGTCCAACCAAACCACAATACCATGCCCTATTACAACATTTCTTCTTCCTAGATGCAACCCAGGATAGCAGAACCACACATTCCATCCTTAACAATGAATCTTTGTTCCCAAACAATTATGATTCTTCAATTCTGCCTCAAGCAGGTAGGGACTTCCAGCAATTTCAGAAAATCAAATCTTATTCTTCTCCATGCTTTACCTCACTAGCAGATAATTCAACTGTCTCCGCTGAACAGAATAGGGGTCTGATTGGGCAGCCTCATTCAAAGATTTGTAATAGTCTTCCAACACACACTGGTTAAGATTTTCCTCCAAGTCATCAGGTCAAACAGACATTTTAGATAGATAAATAGTCTATGAAACTTCAGGATATCCTAAAGTTTTCTTGAACCTTTGTCGTTAAGATCTTTTTCAGCTGAGTACCTTCCATCGATTTTTTTGCATCTAATAACATAAAACTACGCCATTGCAAAGGCTGGCTATTTAGTGTAGGTTTGGCTATACTAGACAAGTGTAGAACCATTTCTAGAGGTTGACCAATCTATAAATTTCATATCCAATTATGGAACTTGACGAGTAAAAGCAGCTCATTAGTTTAACGATCTAATATAGCAAATTTGAAAATTTTGGCCGGGGGGGAGGGACATTACCAGCTTCATCTCCATGCAGCATCTTTAATAATCTGCCAGTTCTTTTTTCCCATACAAACCATCTACCATCGTCACTTCCACTAGCAATGTATTCACCTGATAAAGAAAAGAATGCACAATGACATTACTTAAGCTGTCATCAGAATCTATTTCAAATGCTTGTCAAATGCAACTTTTATAGCAGTCTCATGTCGTCAACATGCCAAGAAATTGACTAATGGGTATGATGGGGAACGAAGATAAGAATAAATATAGGACTTTAAAGTAGAGATTGATTTAGGTCATGTTTATTTAGATTGACTTAGATTAGTTACAATATTTTTTTAAGCTTCTGGTTATGAGAAGTTCATTTAATTTTAACTTCTTTTCCCTATTTATGGTACTTAGTATTTCATTTGTATGCAGACTTGACTATTGATTTAATATTGATTATTTCTCCCCCAAAAACTTACTCTCTCTCTTTCTCTCTCTCTTCCCTATTTCTGTTTCTTGTTACGTTCTATGTCAGGTTTAACCATTGGCAAAATAACTTAAAAAAGCGTTCCTTTGGAAGTACCATTGCTCGCATTATACAACTTTCTCACCAGACTAAAACAGAGATGAGAAGAGGCAAATGAATTAAAAGATACGAACAAATATCAAGGAAGATCTCAATTTGATTCTTAAGCTTTAAAACTTTTGTCTGTCATCATTAATAGCTATCAGAATACAAATATCAATCACAAATTGTAGCTTATCAGCATTCACCTCAAGTATTTTTATCCTCAGAATTTTTTCAGCCATTTGAAGTAGTCTACTTCTTGATACCGTTCATTCATTTATCAAGAGAAAGAAATACGAAGGTAGAGAAAATAGAGAAAGGCCTTCCAAGATGTGGATTGGAGAATTAGAAACATTTTGTTTCTTTTTCATTTTCCGTAACAGTCTCTCTATCTGTATAGAATATTAGACATACTTTAATGACGTAGGCGCCAGCTTTAGCATGTGCACTCGTTTTGTATGTGGAGGCTTTCCCTCTATCCAACCGACTTGGTACCAAAAAGAAAAGATAGAGTACTTGGCTTTATTAAAGTTCCAATTTTATTTTAAATGGATCTTATTAGCCCTTATTTTAGTTTGTTATTTTCATTAATTTACTCACTCAAGGTTTTATAGAAATTTTGATAATTTCAAACTATTTACGTAATTTGATTTACTGTCTTGTTTTGGTATTATAAATTTGGAGTTGTAAAAGAAAGTTTTAGTTGGATTTGCTCTTAAGTCCTACTAAAATAGGAAATACGTCGTAGGTTACACAAAGACATGTACTCTCTACAACTCAATGAACATCAACCTAACGTGTTCTTACATAGTACCATGGCTTTCTTCAGATTCCATGGTAGAATCCTACATTAGATGTGGTGCTAAGGGATTCCAGGAGATATACCTAAGAGTTCTTTTACTTCTGTTTTCCTTATTCAATATTCAGCAGCACAAATTTTCGGAAAGCGGTGTTTTCGATCTCCAACACCTTAAACCCTAAAGACTTATGAATCATCTCTTATAATGAAAGGAAAAAAAATAACTACTTCATTAACAGCATCCTGTGGAACTTACTGACCAATAACAGCCTCAAAATGTTTGATTACAACGAAAACTAATTAATGAAATGAAAGAAATACAATATTAGAGAACTGTGACCACCACGAAGATTAGTAGTAGTATAGGAATTCAAGGAGATGTTTTCATCCCTTCTGAAAATCTGCAAATGGAATTTCAAAAAAGGAACTATGAGCCTTTCATCACAGTTGAGCAAAAAATAACCAACTGCTTCATACTCGATGCATTAAGATAAGCTGATTCTTTGGGGAAAAAAAAAGGAACAGAAAATGCCTTCATTTAATGCCATCATTTAGCATTGGTCAAGCAATTCCACCCCTATATCTAGGGCTTCTTTGAGCCCCATTTTCGGTTTTCAGTATTTTGGAATAGTAGATTGATGGAAAATGTGTGGTCAAAAAATTAAGGAAAAATTTTGGATTTGAGTATAATATTATTTTATTGAAGAATGCGTGATTGAAAAGAAAATCGAGAAAAATACTAGTATCAGAGTTATGCGCGTATGTTCTGAGGTTCTAGCAAATATGGTTTCTGCCTTGCTTCATCTACAGAGGATGCACTAAAAGAAAACCTACCCCAGAGCACGAGATAAAACTGGCAACAATAAAGCACATGATCCTTTTTTCACAAGTAGTTTATCTCTTCACAAACGCATGATTCAGAAGCGTTACATAGAAAATCTCACACATACCTTTTTGACCAAGAAAACTAGCCTGTTTTATGTCAGTGCCTATATTGCAATGGCCAACATATCTTTGTTTCATATCTGTCACTGTCTCAGGCTGCAAAATGAACAGAAGTTAATTAAGGAAAACCAGATATAATATATAAATGAAATGAAATAGTAGCTAAAGAAAATGTTACATATCTAATGTGAAGAGCAAATAGGTCATCAAACTTAAACCAAGTATTTTGAGTAGCATTGGACTTCGATATTCATAATAAATCAATGAAACAAGACAGAGAGAGAATGTCGCATATGGAAAAGAGAGAAAGTACACGATCACATGGAGGAAGAAATTTAACCGTTGCGGTGGAAACAGGAAGGATCTCAAAAATACTCCAACAAGTAGTACCCACATAATCAAAGAAAATCTCAGAAATAAAATCAAAGAGAATAATACTAAAAATTGCAGAAGATTTATAGGCATATTACATTTTTTATGATAACCTTTCGCTTATACCTAAAAGAATGTTGATGCAAAAATATAAATAGGTTTGACAAGAATGTGAATTCAATTTTTTTATAAAGTGAATAGCAGAATCAAAACCTGATAAGGTACTTTATCGCTTTGACATGACGGTGTAGGCAACCCAGAAGCACCATTTGGTCTTCCAGTTTCTGTTGCTGAGTCACCTCTCATGTGGATTCTAAAATTTAAACTTCCATGAAGAACATTAGAGTCAAAATCATGTCCTTCATCAGATACTGATGTTTCAAAATCAAATTCCAATTCTTCATCTAAGTCAGAATCTTCTCTTTCAGGGCCATCTTGTGAAGCATCACCATTTCCCTCGGGACGATAGATTATATCACTCATAGATAGTACACTTCCTGCTCGATATACGGACTTAGATCCTCTATCGTTTTCCTTTTTAGCTTTCTCAATTTCTGCCATTAAGTGTATATTTAGTTAATAATACAAGTACAGAACCAGAAATATTGACAACTTGTATAAGTTTCTGCAATACTCATAAAAATATTAACTGTCATTTATCCTCAATAGCACAGTCTGCAACATTTGACAGTTGAAACTAGACATGACAACTACCAGAGAGAATTAGGATTACCAATCGATGAAAAGAAATACATATTTTCTATTCTCTTGAAAATATTAACTCTCATTTCTCCTCAGTAGCACAACTGTAACATTTGACAGTTGAAACTGGACAAGACAACTACAAGAGAGAATTAGGATTACCAATCAATGAAAAAAGATACATATAATATCCGCCATGGAACAGAGCCAGCAGAATGCTATCAATGCACCTAGTAGAACTAGGGAAAAAGCTTTTACAAAGGTGTATGCATTATGTGCAGGTCAGATAAACATGGCAGTCGATGAACCTTGCAGGAAGAGTGGGTGATGCAACTTGGAAAGTCTATTCGAGGCGTAAAAGAAATTAACATCAATTACAATAGAAGTTTCCATTGTTGCATTTGATTCATTAGTAAATTGATTTTCGTAAAAGGAAAATCCTAATTTTCATATAAAGAGGTCCATTGATTGTAATGAGACACACTTGATTATTGAATAAAAACTACAATCTTTCCCTCAATTCTCTCTCTGCTTTCTTCTCCTTTATTGTTCTTGTTATTGCAATCGGCATCAATTTGGTATCAGAGCATGACGCCATCCTCTGACTAAAGTGTTGCGCGTGACAGTGACGACAACGAATTGATTTTACAGCAGCCACCTAAACCCATACCCATCCAAACCAATTCTCCACCTACGACTACCCGTCAGTCCCTACAGTCACCAACCTCCCAGGCCATCTTCAGGCTCAACAGCAAGAGCAACTATTTGCTTCTGTTTTGTTTTTAATTTTCGTGCTCAACAAGAGAGAGAGAGAGAGAGAGAGAGAGTAATTGTTCCACCGCCATTGTGTTTTTTTCTAATATCTGGTTCCCAAAAAAAAAAAAAAAGGAAGAACCGTGAAACCCAATTGCAGTCAGTTTTATACCTGTTCAGCCCAAGGCAAAAGAATTATGTTGCTGTTACATAAGAGGGTAAACTTCTGATAAAGCCAAAGTCCAGATCTTAAACCCAAACTGAAAGAAACAGATCTTAGCCCACTACATCAATCAACTTTAGCCCCCAGCCATCAACCTAACCACACGTTACTGACCCGTCATCCATACACATCAGCCCACACCAATCTTTAGGAAAAAAAAATAGCCTCTCCAAACGTGCCCCAAAACACCATCCACACACTCAGCCCATTACCCCACCCTAACCCTCTCACGCCGTCGACCTGCGCACTTGCTCCTCTACTGTCTATCTCACCCAACCAACTGCCAATACCACTGACTCGTCCCTCCCCTTTGTTGTTGTTGTACTCTCCCTGTACTCCATGGTCCATCGCTGCTTTTGAACCACGAGGACAACCTACTTTCGCTTCCTAACGCCATCGCTACCTATGACCGTTCAGTTTTGATCCAGTCCCTCAACACTTGTTGTTGCTTCCTATTGCTGCCAACCTCACCATTACCGTTGAGCCCACTATTACTGTTCTTCTAACTGCTGTTGGTACATCGCCTATATTCAGATTGTCTCATTCCACTACCAGTTCAACAAATTCACCACCAATCACCGACGCCTCATCTCCGGTTGCTCTTGGGTGTAACTTTGGTAAGGGTTTATTTTGCTTTTGAAAACGTTACTTTTATTTAAGTAATTTGGCTTTTCAGCAATTTGCTTTAGTTCCATTTAAAAAAATAAAATAAATACATACATACATACATACATACATATATATATATATCAAAAATAAAAAAAACCCAGGTGCTCATAATTAACCTAATTGTTTAATATCATCACTGAACTAGTCACCCTCGGTAACAACATGGATCTAAAGGATCTTAAGCAGTCTCATAATGCACTCTCACGGCAAGTTGCTAATCTTTCCACTGACGTGACGATGAAATCTGATCTAGCTGAGCTTAAATCTCTCTTCCACCGCCTTAGTGAACAGATTGAACAATCATCTCGAAATCGAAGAAAACACCATGTGGATTGATTCTTCTGATTCCTCTACCGTGGGTCAAAACGTCCAAGACCTACTCAGTCGTACACCAGATGGCAGACCGCCTAATCCACACAATCTTGGTCCTCGACAACGCAACCTCTATCCAGAACTTCGTGATCCAGTTATCAATAATGCTCCTCGCCCTGAACCCCCACCCCCACGTTTTGAACAGCATAGGGACCTGTTGATGATGTCACTAGGAAAGTTAAAGTAGACGTTCCTGAATTTGATAGTCGCCTAGACCCCGAAGCCTTTCTTAATTGGCACGCAATGCAATCAAAGAATACTTCAACCGATACCAAATGCCTAATTATCGGCGTATTCGTTTCACCAAAATGAAACTTGTCAAATTTGGTAAACGTTATTGGCAGACAGTGACACAATCCCTCAAACGCGTAGGTCAGCCTATTATTATGTAGGAAGAAATGAAATTAAAACTTACTGTGAAGTACATCCCGCCTTATCATCGTTCTCAATTCTTAGAACGTCTTCTAAAGCATAAGCAAAACTCCTCGACCGTGTCAGACTACATAACCCGTTTTGACGAGTTATTGTACCGCTATGGCCTTGCAGAACCCGAGGATGTCGCTATCACTAGGATCCTTTAAAGGCTTGAGACCTTACCTCAAACATCAAATCCTTGTACTCAATCCTGACTCCTTAGAAGATGCTTTCCGCAAAGCCCTCAAACACGAGTGGTACTCTCGCTCCTCCTATTCGCGGTGTGGCACTCCTACCTTATTTGACCCTCGTCTCTCCCATCTCCCTCCGACCAGCGCTCTCAGTAGTGGCCTTACGTCGATCCAAACCCGCTTGGCTATTGGATCTTCATCTACTCCTACTCCTCGCGACTCCTCTAGAGGTCAACCTGCTTCCCCCCACCTCTCGAGGCCCTACATCTTAAATTGTGTCATAATTGTCCCACTCGAGGTCATATTGCCTCTCAATTCCCAAATCGTGCCCTCGACCTTGATCAAGAATCTCTACTTCCGACGCCAGGAAATGAATTTTTCGTAGTCGACCCTATCGACCATTTTGATGAGGATCTTGACCAATTTGAGTGCTATGAGGAAGATGTTGTCGTCACCGTTACGCGATGCATACTGTCCACCCTTGTTGACTTTGATTCGTGGAAATGAACATCCATCTTCCAAACATATATCTCGTGTAACTCTCGTTCATGCAAGTTGGTAATTAACGGTGGTAGCACCATTAATGTCGTATCCAATTCTGCTGTGGCCAAGTTCGGCTTCAAAACAGAACCACATCCTAGACCTTTCAAGGTGGCGTGGGTGGATCAAACTTTGTTGCCCGTCACTCAACGTTGTCTTGTACCCTGAAGCCGGGTCTACTCTTTTCGGAGGACATTTACTATGATGTCTTACCAATGGATGTTGCTCACATCCTTTTGGAATACCCCTGACTTTACAATCATGATGTTATGCACTTTGGACGTGACAACACGTATGAATTTGTCCATAATGGAAAATCTATTCGTCTATTCCCAACTAAACCCTTAAGTCCCTCGAGAAAATCAACACCCATCTCGACACCCAAAGGTGTTGCGGACTCCCAGATTCCCTTTTTGTCCCTTGAAGACTTTAAGCGCAAAGGTCATAACAATGGGCTCATGTTTGCCTTATCTAGCAAAGTTTGTTCACATTTCTCATTTGATTCAAACATCGCCTTTCCACCCAAGGTCACTCCTTTACTAGAAGAGTAGTGATATTACCCCTGTTGACCTACCTGATGAGCTTCCTCCTATGAGAGAGATTCAACATTCTTGTCCCTAGTTCCCAGTTATCAAATCGACCCCACTATAGGATGAATCCCGCTTAGCAAGCTGAACTCAATAGGCAAATTGACGCTTTACTTGATAAAGGCTTTATTCACCCTAGCCTCAACCCTTGTGCGGTTCCAGTTTTGTTGACCCAAAGAAAGATGGCTCTTGGCGCATGTGTGGTGATAATCGCGTCATCAACAAAATCACTATTAAGTATCAATTTCATATTCCACACCTTGACGACATGTTAGATGAGTTAGCATGATCTTTATGGTTCTCCAAGATTGATCTACGGAGTGGTTATCATCAAATAAGAATTAGACCGCAGGATGAATGGAAAATGGCACTTAAGACCCAGGATGGTTTGTATTAATGGTTGTTTATGCCTTTTGAAATGTCTAATGCACCTAGCACTTTCATACAGGTCATGACCCATGTCTTGCGTCCTTTTATTGGAAAGTTTCTTGTGAACTATTTTGACGACATTTTGATTTATAGTTGATCGCAAGAGGCTTACTTAGATCACCTTCGACAAGTTTTCCTTACTCTTCATTCCGCACATATGTATGCTAACCTTAAAAAGTGTTCATTCCCTCCATGTTGACTGAGGTTCGTAGCTTTCATGGTTTAGCATCCTTCTATTCATTCGGGGCTTTAGCTCTATCACTGCTCCAATTACTGAGTGTATGAAGGGGATTTTCGTTGGACACCTTCGACCCAGAGAGCTTTTTTAGCCGTTAAGCAAAAGTTGATCGAGGCTCCTGTGTTATGCCACCTGGATCTTTCTAAGGTTTTTGAGTTTGCTTGTGATACGTCCGATGTAGGCATAGGTGGTATCTCAAGTCAAGATGGTCTCCTCCATAGTTTGAAAAAATGTAAACAGGTACTGAGGCGTTTTTTTGTCATGAGGCGAGGCGTAAGCCTCACCCCAAACAAAACAGGTGCAATCTGCCGAACAGAATAAGAGCAATCTGGCGTCGATGCACTGAATAAGAAAAAAG